CTCCCAGGCCCCCCCAGCACCCCGACCCGGCCCTTCAGTGCCCAGGCTCCCCAAGCCACCAAACCCGAAGGGCTGAAGTGGGAGCACGTGGTGCTTGGCCTGGTGCCAGCCCTCCGTCCGGAGGCGTTCCACTCTCCAGGGCGTTCCCGCCCAGGACCCAGCCCTCGCATGGCGGACAGACGGGCTGGAGACACGCTGTGGGGAGCCGGCTGGGCCCAGCCTGACCTGGGCCCTTCAGTGCCCAGGCTCCCCAAGCCACCAAACCCGAAGGGCTGAAGTGGGAGCACGTGGTGCTTGGCCTGGTGCCAGCCCTCCGTCCGGAGGCGTTCCACTCTCCAGGGCGTTCCCGCCCAGGACCCAGCCCTCGCATGGCGGACAGACGGGCTGGAGACACGCTGTGGGGAGCCGGCTGGGCCCAGCCTGACCTGCAGTTTTCATGGGTTCTTGCTTCTCTGCTCCAAGGTATGACCCCAAACGCAGCCCTGCCAGCCCCCAAAACAGGCCCATGGGGCAGCTCCCAGAGCCCTAAATGCAGGCCCTTGCCTCCACTCCCCTGGGGCAGCCCTACCAGCCCCTGACCCCCAAGGGACAGCCCCACTGGCTCCCGCAGGGCTGCCTGCCTTGCCCTGAGTCCCCAGGGGCTAGTCCCACTGGTCCCAAATACAGGCCCTGGCCCTGCAGGTCCCGCTCTCACATTTTGCTGTGACGGAGTAGCCGCCCAGGGGAGACAGGTGTCCCTCCACTGCATCGAAGCCGGCAGAGACCAGAACCACGTCCGGGGAGAACTCGTTGGCTATTGGCATCACCACCGTCCTGAGGGAGGGGAGACTGCGAGTTAGGCCCCTGGCAGAGCCACACCAGCCTAAGCAGCCAGTGAGGGCACTGAACGCCTCAGCGCCCCTGGGGAACCCAGCATGGCCTGCCCCGGGCCCCTGGGAAACCCAGCATGGCCTGCCCCGGGCCCCTGGGGAACCCTTCCCTCCACACCTCCTGCCCCGGGCCCCTGGGGAAACCAGCATGGCCGTCCCCGGGCGCCTTCCCTCCCCACCTCCTGCCCCGGGCCCCTGGGGAACCCAGCATGGCCTGCCCCGGGCCCCTGGGGAACCCTTCCCTCCCCACCTCCTGCCCCGGGCCCCTGGGGAACCCAGCATGGCCTGCCCCGGGCCCCTGGGGAACCCTTCCCTCCCCACCTCCTGCCCCGGGCCCCTGGGGAACCCAGCATGGCCTGCCCCGGGCCCCTGGGGAACCCTTCCCTCCCCACCTCCTGCCCCGGGCCCCTGGGGAACCCAGCATGGCCTGCCCCGGGCCCCTGGGGAACCCTTCCCTCCCCACCTCCTGCCCCGGGCCCCTGGGGAACCCAGCATGGCCTGCCCCGGGCCCCTGGGGAACCCTTCCCTCCCCACCTCCTGCCCCGGGCCCCTGGGGAACCCAGCATGGCCTGCCCCGGGCCCCTGGGGAACCCTTCCCTCCCCACCTCCTGCCCCGGGCCCCTGGGGAACCCAGCATGGCCTGCCCCGGGCCCCTGGGGAACCCTTCCCTCCCCACCTCCTGCCCCGGGCCCCTGGGGAACCCAGCATGGCCTGCCCCGGGCCCCTGGGGAACCCTTCCCTCCCCACCTCCTGCCCCGGGCCCCTGGGGAACCCAGCATGGCCTGCCCCGGGCCCCTGGGGAACCCTTCCCTCCCCACCTCCTGCCCCGGGCCCCTGGGGAACCCAGCATGGCCTGCCCCGGGCCCCTGGGGAACCCTTCCCTCCCCACCTCCTGCCCCGGGCCCCTGGGGAACCCAGCATGGCCTGCCCCGGGCCCCTGGGGAACCCTTCCCTCCCCACCTCCTGCCCCGGGCCCCTGGGGAACCCAGCATGGCCTGCCCCGGGCCCCTGGGGAACCCTTCCCTCCCCACCTCCTGCCCCGGGCCCCTGGGGAACCCAGCATGGCCTGCCCCGGGCCCCTGGGGAACCCTTCCCTCCCCACCTCCTGCCCCGGGCCCCTGGGGAACCCAGCATGGCCTGCCCCGGGCCCCTGGGGAACCCTTCCCTCCCCACCTCCTGCCCCGGGCCCCTGGGGAACCCAGCATGGCCTGCCCCGGGCCCCTGGGGAACCCTTCCCTCCCCACCTCCTGCCCCGGGCCCCTGGGGAACCCAGCATGGCCTGCCCCGGGCCCCTGGGGAACCCTTCCCTCCCCACCTCCTGCCCCGGGCCCCTGGGGAACCCAGCATGGCCTGCCCCGGGCCCCTGGGGAACCCTTCCCTCCCCACCTCCTGCCCCGGGCCCCTGGGGAACCCAGCATGGCCTGCCCCGGGCCCCTGGGGAACCCTTCCCTCCCCACCTCCTGCCCCGGGCCCCTGGGGAACCCAGCATGGCCTGCCCCGGGCCCCTGGGGAACCCTTCCCTCCCCACCTCCTGCCCCGGGCCCCTGGGGAACCCAGCATGGCCTGCCCCGGGCCCCTGGGGAACCCTTCCCTCCCCACCTCCTGCCCCGGGCCCCTGGGGAACCCAGCATGGCCTGCCCCGGGCCCCTGGGGAACCCTTCCCTCCCCACCTCCTGCCCCGGGCCCCTGGGGAACCCAGCATGGCCTGCCCCGGGCCCCTGGGGAACCCTTCCCTCCCCACCTCCTGCCCCGGGCCCCTGGGGAACCCAGCATGGCCTGCCCCGGGCCCCTGGGGAACCCTTCCCTCCCCACCTCCTGCCCCGGGCCCCTGGGGAACCCAGCATGGCCTGCCCCGGGCCCCTGGGGAACCCTTCCCTCCCCACCTCCTGCCCCGGGCCCCTGGGGAACCCAGCATGGCCTGCCCCGGGCCCCTGGGGAACCCTTCCCTCCCCACCTCCTGCCCCGGGCCCCTGGGGAACCCAGCATGGCCTGCCCCGGGCCCCTGGGGAACCCTTCCCTCCCCACCTCCTGCCCCGGGCCCCTGGGGAACCCAGCATGGCCTGCCCCGGGCCCCTGGGGAACCCTTCCCTCCCCACCTCCTGCCCCGGGCCCCTGGGGAACCCAGCATGGCCTGCCCCGGGCCCCTGGGGAACCCTTCCCTCCCCACCTCCTGCCCCGGGCCCCTGGGGAACCCAGCATGGCCTGCCCCGGGCCCCTGGGGAACCCTTCCCTCCCCACCTCCTGCCCCGGGCCCCTGGGGAACCCAGCATGGCCTGCCCCGGGCCCCTGGGGAACCCTTCCCTCCCCACCTCCTGCCCCGGGCCCCTGGGGAACCCAGCATGGCCTGCCCCGGGCCCCTGGGGAACCCTTCCCTCCCCACCTCCTGCCCCGGGCCCCTGGGGAACCCAGCATGGCCTGCCCCGGGCCCCTGGGGAACCCTTCCCTCCCCACCTCCTGCCCCGGGCCCCTGGGGAACCCAGCATGGCCTGCCCCGGGCCCCTGGGGAACCCTTCCCTCCCCACCTCCTGCCCCGGGCCCCTGGGGAACCCAGCATGGCCTGCCCCGGGCCCCTGGGGAACCCTTCCCTCCCCACCTCCTGCCCCGGGCCCCTGGGGAACCCAGCATGGCCTGCCCCGGGCCCCTGGGGAACCCTTCCCTCCCCACCTCCTGCCCCGGGCCCCTGGGGAACCCAGCATGGCCTGCCCCGGGCCCCTGGGGAACCCTTCCCTCCCCACCTCCTGCCCCGGGCCCCTGGGGAACCCAGCATGGCCTGCCCCGGGCCCCTGGGGAACCCTTCCCTCCCCACCTCCTGCCCCGGGCCCCTGGGGAACCCAGCATGGCCTGCCCCGGGCCCCTGGGGAACCCTTCCCTCCCCACCTCCTGCCCCGGGCCCCTGGGGAACCCAGCATGGCCTGCCCCGGGCCCCTGGGGAACCCTTCCCTCCCCACCTCCTGCCCCGGGCCCCTGGGGAACCCAGCATGGCCTGCCCCGGGCCCCTGGGGAACCCTTCCCTCCCCACCTCCTGCCCCGGGCCCCTGGGGAACCCAGCATGGCCTGCCCCGGGCCCCTGGGGAACCCTTCCCTCCCCACCTCCTGCCCCGGGCCCCTGGGGAACCCAGCATGGCCTGCCCCGGGCCCCTGGGGAACCCTTCCCTCCCCACCTCCTGCCCCGGGCCCCTGGGGAACCCAGCATGGCCTGCCCCGGGCCCCTGGGGAACCCTTCCCTCCCCACCTCCTGCCCCGGGCCCCTGGGGAACCCAGCATGGCCTGCCCCGGGCCCCTGGGGAACCCTTCCCTCCCCACCTCCTGCCACAGGGCTCTGGGGAACCCAGCATGGCCTGCCCCGGGCCCCTGAGGAGCCCAGCATGGCCTGCCCCAGGCCCCTGGGGAACCCTTCCCTCCCCACCTCCTGACCTGGGCCCCTGGGATCTCTTGTTCCTGCCCTGGGATTCCCTGGCCCCCCGACTGGATCCTCACAGCCAAACAAAAGCACTTTCTGGGCTTCCAGACCTTCAGCATTGCCAGCCTGCTACCCCAGCTGCCCCCCAGCCCGAGGGGGAGCTCTCTGCAGGGCCTCATGTCCTAGGGCGTCCTTTACTTCCACAGCCCACACAGACGCTGTGGCCACAACAGGCAGCAGGGGCAGTGGGACGGGCTCGCAGGACTCCTTGGTTCTAGTCCCAGCACAGACGCTGGCGTGTGGAATGACGCTGGGCAAGTAACTTGCCCACTCTGTGCCTCAGTTTCCCCCTCTGTAAAGCAGGGATAATGCTGCTTGAAGAGCAGCGAGATGCCACTGCTGCCGCTAGTGCTGTTCACTGTGGCTGGGGCCCTGCTGGCCCAGCAGATGCTGGCCTGGCCTGGCCCAGTCCTATTAGTCACAACCCTGTTCCCAGCATAAGACAGACATCAGCCCTTTGGCCCATCCCTCCTAGGGTGTCCACCTCTGCCCCAGCCAGATGCAGGCCAAGTGACTGGCCCAAGGGCACCCACGAAATCAGTGGCAGGGCCCCATCCCTCCCTCCTCTCAGCTGAGACCGCCGTGCCACCCCGGAGTCCGTGCAGGGGGCACTGAGGCCCTGTGCTGCCCCTGGAGGGTAACCGGCCGCCGGGGAGCCCTACCTGAACGCGGCCAGGTACTCCACGTCTCCGACGGGGGGCTCCACTCCACCCGTCCAGGCTATGTTGACGTTGTAGCCCACCCCTATCCCGCTGCCAACCTGCGAGACAGGAGAGCTGCATAGGACGGGCAGGAGTCCGTGCAGGGGGCACTGAGGCCCTGTGCTGCCCCTGGAGGGTAACCGGCCGCCGGGGAGCCCTACCTGAACGCGGCCAGGTACTCCACGTCTCCGACGGGGGGCTCCACTCCACCCGTCCAGGCTATGTTGACGTTGTAGCCCACCCCTATCCCGCTGCCAACCTGCGAGACAGGAGAGCTGCATAGGACGGGCAGGAGTCCAAGAGGGGCCCGGCCCCACAACCGCTGGGCGCTGGCCGTGCTACCGTCAGCGATGCCTGCCGGGGGAGGGGAGCGCAGAAGGAGCATTCCCAGGGGATTCAGGACCCCGCCTCGCGCCCCAGGCTGTGTAACTGCCAAGCAGGGAGAGACCCCGGGGCAGTCCCATCCCATGGCCCCGCCGGCTCTGCGGGTCGCTCCCTGCGTGTGGGGCCCACACTCACCTCCTCGGGGGCCCCGCTGCCCGGGAAGAAGTTGCCGTTGTCGTAGCGGTGCAGAGAGATGTACAGCACGCTGGGATCGGTGTAGAAGGCCTGTTGGGTGCCGTTCCCATGGTGAATGTCCTGCAGGGAGCACAGAGGGTAAGGGGGGGGGCAACAGGAGCTGGCCAAGTCTGGCCAATGAAGAGACCAGCAGGGACAAACACGCCTCCAGCAGGACTGGGACTGACTGTCCATGCTGGTCCCAGCAGCCATGCTCCCATCTCAGCTGTGCCGCTGCTGTACCCAATGCCCCCCCCCCAAGCTCCATGCGAGACACTCCAGCCTTCAAACCTTCCCAAGGAGGCCACCATGCAGGGCAGCGGCCATGAGAAGTGTGACCACAGACCCCTTGGCGGGGCGTTGACTCGTGAGGCTAAAGATCACAGAACACTCGCAGGCATTAACTCTCGAGGCTAATGATCATGAGAGTCCAGTCCCAGCCCTCCCGGCAGGGCCACGCACCATCTAGAACATTAGCTGGCAGGTGAGTATCTGACCTGCTCTGAAATATCCCCAGCGTGGAGACTCCACAGCCTCCCCAGGCAACTCACTCCAGTGTTCACCACCCCGACAGGCTCCTATTGTCCAACCTCAACCTCCCTGGCTGCAGTTTAAGGCCCTTGCCTCTTGTCCTAGCATCAGAGGGCAAGGAGAACAAGTTTTCTCCCTCCTCCTTTTGACTCTCTTTTAGGTACGTGAAAGCTGCTGTTATGTTCCCTTCTCAGTCTTCTGTTCCCAACTTAACGAGCCCAATTCTTTCAGTTTTCCCTTATGGATCCTTTAATCATTTTTGTTGCTTCTCTCTGAATCCTCTCCAATTTCTCCACATCTTTCCTGAAATGTGGAGCCCAGAACTGGACACAGTACTCCAGCTGAGCCTGATCCGCGCAGAGTACAGCGGACGAACGACTTCTTGGCTACGTCTAGACTGGCATGATTTTCTGGAAACGCTTTTAACGGAAAAGTTTTCTGTTAAAAGCATTTTTGGAAAATCGTGTCTAGATTGGCAGGACGCTTTTCTGCAAAAGCACTTTTTGTGGAAAAGCGTCCGTGGCCAATCTAGACGCGCTTTTCTGCAAAAAAGCCCCAATCGCCATTTTCGCCATCGGGGCTTTTTTGCGGAAAAGAAATCTCTGCTGTCTACACTGGCCCTTTTGTGCAAAAGTCTTTCGGAAAAAGACTTTTGCCCGAATGGGAGCAGCATAGTATTTCCGCAAGCACTGATTTCAGACAGCACGAAGTCAGTGCTTTTGCGGAAATTCAAGCGGCCAGTGTAGACAGCTGGCAAGTTTTTCCGGAAAAGCGGCTGATTTTCCAGAAAAACTGGCCAGTCTAGAGACAGCCCTTGTGTCTTGCTCACAATGCTCCTGTTGATGGCACCAGAGAACAGGCAGCAGCGGTGCCCACAAACGTAACCGCACATGCACTGACAGCAGCTGCACTTGGGAATGGAGACTTCGGCACAGTTACTCATTCCTGAAAGCTGCGCTCTTAGCCCCCTGACACCTTCGCACCAGGAGGGGAGGTCTGAAGAGGGGATAGATGGGGGATGATGGGTGGGGGCGGGAGTGGAAAGAGACAGCTGCTAAAGGGATTCTTTTGCCTCATGCTTCACTTGCCACCTCAGTCTAGTGCAGTGAACTTCCTGGGTCTATTTGGCTGAGGGTCTCTGAGGGCTGGGTCCGTTACAAGGGAAAGATTTGCTGGGGCTAAAGATTGTTGCTGCATGTGGGGGCGGCGCAGGGAGAAGTGCTGGGGAGGGGAGGTCATTTACAGTATTATTCTATCACTGGTCTCAGGCTCCCAAAGAAATACAGGTGTCCAGTTGAATCTGCATAATAAGAAGTGGTTAGGTTGAATGGTGTTTCTTCTAGATGCTGGTCTGGGAGCCAAAGAATTGTGAAATTCTACCCAGACACTGTAGAATGTCTGGGTGTGTCTAGACTACATGCC